AGAACGCTGTCTGTGTGTATGTACAGGGAAAAATGGTGCTGGAGGGTTTTTGTCTTTCCTCCTGCCCCCTTCACTTAAAGGGAACTGCTCCAGATACTTTCTTGGGAATGTTTTTGCTGTACACAGGGGGCTGAAATCCCATATAATCTCATTGCTGGCCATAAGATAAATGGTATGCGTTCTCTGAGCCACTTACTTGAAGGAAAAAGTGAATGTGAAGGGCTAAAATATTTTTATAATGGTCCTTTGTGTAAGAGCTGCTTCCCAAACCAATGCTTATTCTTCCACAGGTGTTTCCAGCTCAGATTATTATCAGATTAAGTCTCTGTTGACTTCTTTTTATTCTAGGTGTATTACTTGAAAACCTGTATAATTGGAGTATATGCCACAGCATTTGGAGCCTGGGAGGCTGGCGACAGCAAGAGCTTTCAGTATAGTTGTGTTACTTTGCATCATCCTCCTTTCTACCTGTGGTGCCTGCTAATATGATTTCTTTGTGCATTACTTATCACATTTTTACAGCAGCAACAAAGCAAATGCTGTGATCACTGAATAAAAGCTGAAGCACCAGTGTTTGGTCATGCAGTTAGGTCACATTGGTAACTTATTCAGAGCTCTGGGAGAATGAGGATTTCACTGAGTAAAGCAGCCTTGGTGGATTCTGAAACCTTCCAACTTTCTGCTGTTGGTCGACATATCGAAATTATTATTCTTACAACTTTGGTAACAGAACAAAGAATAAGAGAATGCTTTTTATTTGCTTCACTGCAAAGTCCAACAGTTGATAAACAGCCAGAGAGATAGTGTGACTACACTGAATGGACTTTGCACAAAAGAAGCTGAAGATAAAGCTTACGCATGAGAATCCAAGTGCTGCAATTCTGGAACCAGCTGGTCAAACAAGAGGGGAAAAGAAAGAATTATTTTTTCATTCTGCGAGTTAGTGACAAGGCTCCCTGCAGGCAGTGCTTCCAGAGCTCTTTCTCATCCTAAACTTAGGAGCCTGACAAAACATGACATAGGTTTTGACTGCTGCACATTGTACAGTAACATAAAAAGTGAATTATGGACTAATGCAAAAAAAAAAAAAAAACCACCAAAAACACAAAACCCACAAAAAACCCAACTCATTGCTCTAGAACACAAGCCTTACACTAAGTGTAAATGGTGATAGAATTGGTACATAGTTTTCTGAATAAGTGAAAATAAGTGGTCAACATCAGGAATTCACTTATGGTTGATAAATCCATCTAGAGTTCTTGCTCTTTCCTCTTTTTTTTTAATCTGCTACTGCTGTCCTGTTCAGCAGGTGCCACTGCTGGCTGCTTACTCCAAGAATACGGGCCATGAAACTTGTCCCTGCAAGTTTAAGTTACCACCACGCTGCTTCAGCTGGAAATCACCACTGCTTATTTGGCTTGAGCTCGGGTCCTCCACAGCTGTGTCAATTTGTGAGAACAGCTCTTGAATCACTTTGTGGATTTACCTAAACCCACATTCAGTTAAGCTAATGTATTTGGGTTTGTGCTGCAATGTTCAGTCAGGTACTTTAGCTCACCTGTGAAACAGTAACTCCCAACGGGGCAGAGCAGAGGGAACCTTCTGGCATATCAATTACTTGTGTCTGATGGTGCTCCACTCTGCGCCTTCTGGTGGATCAGGTTTCTGGAGCGCAGGTGACAGCGAATCTTTACTGCTGTGCAAGGAGCCTTTACCCAGACAGTGCTGCTGGGACCATGCTACACTGAGCACATTTAGCCATACTGCATTCAGTCTCTGCTTGTAAAAAAAGAATAAATTGCATAAATGAATGTCTCAGAAGACTTCTGCGAGAGATGAAAAGCCCGTTTAAGACAACAATCGGTATTGCTTATTGGGGAAGCAGAGGCACACTGCTGTGTCTTTGGTCACATTGCTAGAAGTCTTTGCTCCCTTACGCTTCTTCAAAGTAATTCTCAAGCAATTCTGGCTCTGACTTTCTCCAGCCCTTCTGCATGGATAGTTTCTCACAGAGTGCAACGTGTTCCACTGGAGGTCAGTGTGCACCAGTGCAGGCTCAGCAGAATGCCTCCCTGCCCTTCACTTGCTATATTGTACTGCTTGACTTTGTCTGGTACCCCATTGGTATTCCAGCCCAGGAATGGAAGGATTGCACTCGTGAACAATGCACGCTTTGTCGATTCAAACAGTCAGTCATCCAGAAGCTTCTGTCTGGGGAACTTGTTTATTGTTCTAGACTCTTCAAAAATGCAAGGGTGGAATCCTTGCAGATTTCCTTGACATAAAATATTGAAGTTTGTGCTTAGAGTGAATCATACTCTTATCCAAGCTGTGCAACTGAACACAGCTTCTCCACAGTGGAGCAGATGTGGTTGGCACTGTGGTGTGAATGTTGTGTGATGGCATCGCTGTATCCCAAAGAACCTACAGCTAGGTCATCTTTTTAAATTCCAATGTAATGAGAAATTGAAACTAAGAGTGAATTTGTGAATAACCTGCTCTGCAACCTGATGGAGACTCAGTTCTCTAACCCCTGGAGGTCAGTCCCAAGCAAACCTCTTGCACTCTTAGTATAAGTAGCAGAACGCATAACTCAGTTATAAGACATGTACTGCATGAGTCCGCTTAGCATCCCTCACACGTCTGGCATATCAAATAGCCCTTGGCAATCTGATATGAACAGCTATTCGTTTATCTCCATTTGAGATTAATAAAGGTGGAAGAAAGCATTTGATGAATTTTACAGGGCAGTTTCAGTATTAAGAAGAATAAATACCAGGCTTTATATCTGCGTGCAAAACAACTGGGGAGATTTCATATTATTCTGATGATTGTGACTTAAAAAATTATAATTTCTGTAACCAAAGCTGTGGGTTTCATTTACGTATGTGAGACTACGAAACATATGTCAAAACGTCTCTCATCACTGGTGAGTGGAATAGAGCAACATTTTAGGAGCTACTGTTCAAAATGTTCTTTCATCAGCTTCGCCACTGCAGTGAATACCGGCATTGTCTGTATTTAAATTGGGAAAAAAAGTGACTATTCTAAATAACTGGAACATTTACATGAATTTTTATGTAAAGCGTTGTTTGATGTGCTCTTTCAGGAACAAAACCATGAAGACTGAGTCCAACAGATCCTTGCTATTATGGCTATATGATATTATTTATTATGATATTATGGCTATTATGGCCATATGATTTTCTGTACATGTAAATTTAGATGGTGTTGACATGTACTTAAAAGCTGGTGTTGCTATGGGAAGATACTTGAAATTAAGGAAATAAATCTGGTGGTAGAAGAGAGATCCTTGAGTAGTCTGACTGTGAGATGTCAGATTAGCATGTGAAGTGTCTTTTGAAAACGAGCAATACAGCAGTCGTGTTCTCCTGCAAGAATGTCTCTCAGTCTGTCAGTTTTCAGTAACAAGTCAATCTTTCCTAATCTTTGGAACTTCAAATACAAAAAGTATTTTGGATATTGAACTCGTCTTTGGCTTAGACTTTTTTTTTTTCTTTCAGATTCGAGGTCTTCAGTTTTAAGAAATTGAATTTTTTTCCTTTGTTTCTTTCAAGAAGACCCAACATTTCCAGATCACAACAAGCACTGATCACTACAACAGCAGCCCCTCTGTTCTCCCAGTACACCTCCATCCTCTTAGACAACATACGCTCCAACTTCTGCCTTTCCAATGCAATTCAGTTGCAGGACTCCATCATACAGCCATCTCTTGCTCCACAAGGCCTCGTATTCAATTCCATCCCCTTCACCTGTGCCTGCAACGCCTGGGAATTACAGGCATCATTCATCCAAACGCCCCTGCTGGCCTCCAGCCTGCAAGCTGATGGGAAAAGCTGGGCAGCACCTGGCATTCGACAGCTTCTCCCTTTGTGCTTAAAGCTCTTATTTTGTTTCATCTCCCTCCGTGACCAGGGAAGACCTCACCGTGTGTGACAGCACGCATTATCCTGTCTCCTTCATCCTCAGCAAGCTGATAGAGTGGGTCAGACCCCGAGCAGAAGGCTCGCCTGAAATGGCGCCTATCAGAGCGAGCTCGTTTGTAAGCTCGTCTTCCCACCTTCCCTCAAGAAAGAAATATCTGCTCGTCACTTCCTACTGTTCACAAGCAATACAACTTTCACTCCCAACTCCGTCCCTTAGCGCGGCCGCCTCTCCCCTCAGCCACCCTGAGGGCTCGGCTCGGCGCGCGGGCGGCCGTTCGGCCGCGGTGACCAATGGACTGAGCGCGGGCGGCGGCCCCGCCCCCCGGCGGGATGGGATAAGAGCTCCTCCGGGATAAGAGCTCCTCCGGGATAAACTGCTGTGGAATAACCTTCTGCGGGCGGTGCGCCGCGTGGATCGGGCGGCGGCGATGGCCACGGTGCGAGAGAAGGCGGCGGCGTTGAGCCTGAGCGCCGTGTGCAGCCCCGCCGCCAGGCCACCGGGTACGGGGCGGGGAGCGGGACGCGGCCGTGGCGGGAAGGAGGGAGTGAGGTTGCTGAGCGGGAACGTTGCCGAGGGGGGTCTGAAGCGCGGGGAGAGAGCTGGGCGGAGGTGAGGGGAGGAGAGCGGAGGAGAGGCGGCTGGGAGCGGCGGCGTGTTTCCCCGCTCGGGCGAAGTTCAAAAGTTGGCCGCCGTCCCCGCCGGCCGGTGGAGGCGGTTCCGCACGGAGGGCCGCGGCCGGCTGCGCCCCTGGTGAGAGCCGCGTGCCCCGTGCTGAGCACCGCCGCGTGCCGGGCTGGAAGGCGAAGCAGTGCTTAGCGACGTGAGGCGTTCGGGAGTGCGAGCGCGGTGCCGTTTGGACGCGTTGAGTTGTGTTGGTTTTTGTTTTGTTGTTTTTTCCCTTCTGAGTTGGCTCTTAAGGCGTCGGAAAGTAGGGCTGGAAGGAACTGCTGCGTTCTGTTCTGTTCCTTCTGCCCACCGCTTGAGAAGCGCAGGTTCCGCAGTGCTTCTACCTGGCCTGGGTCAGTGCCGCGTATTACAAAGCTTCCTTCCACGCGCGTCTTAGCAAGCGGGTGTCTGTCTGCACACCGCTCCGAAGGCGACTGTTGTCCCGTGTAACGCCGTTGGGTTTTGTGTTCTTAGGTCCCTGCTTCCTTCTCCTTTAAGTCATCCCCTTCCCCTCCCCGTTTGCTCGTTCCTGGGCCCTCTGGCAGACGCAGACCAGCTGGGAGCCCTGGTGCCCCAGATGGAATGCAGTTCTGTGACTGAACAGCAAAAATACCCCCTGTATCTTTGTGGAAAATGTTCATGGTAATGTGTTCCAGAACAAGTTGTGTGGCTTTTTTTTTCTTTTTAAACACTGCATTACACTGTTAATTCATTAGGTTTGAGGTCTGTCATAACCCCAGATGGCTGTCTGTAGGATGGCTGTCTGTAGGATTGCTGCCAACTCTTCATGCCTTATTTTGTGCTTTAGCGTTTGTCTCTTCCACTTGTTTTGCCCTCTTTGTCAATTGCTCAGCTGATTTCTGAGAAACATGTATTCTAATTCTAGCCTCTCCAGTGGCTGCAGCTCTTAGCAGCTAGGTGCCACCTGCAGATTTTACAAGCATGTTCTATCTTAAGTCCTTGCTGAGGCTCACTGTAGTGTTTGCTAGCACCACTGCTAGCATGATATTCTGAACCTGAGGTTAGTAAATGAGTAATAGTTCAGTGATTTTATTAGGGGAGGGAAGGCTGGTTGGCTGAAGGACATGGCTTTGAGTACACAAAGCATGAATCTCGGTTGGAGCTGTGGTAGTAGGAGTCTCTTCTGTGGGATTAGTGTCCAATGAATGATGTCTCATGGATTTTTGGTGTGGTTAGTGTGTCACCAGGTACTCTGTGTTTATGCAGTCTTGTGGGACACTCGTGTCTCTTCATCCCCACTTCCCTCTTTACCTCCACAGCTCTTTACCCTTATCCCTGTTACTAGAGGAAACCAGGGAGCTGCAAACAAGTAGGGTTAGTTTTTGGTTTTGTGCAACAAGTGTGCTCAGGTGTAGGTCCCACAGATGTCAGTGCTGGGAAATGGAGAGAGCATGCAGAAGGTAGCAATACAGGACGGCATGCTGAGAAAGTGAAAGCTGCTGGATACAGAGCTGTACTGCAGGCTACTGTAGTAAGAGCAACCCAGTGAGATATGCTGGTAAATGCAGGCAGACTTGCTGAGGGTAATGCTCAAGTATTTAATGCTTTGTTGAAGGCTGGTTCAATGCAAGCCAAACTAGAAGCCTCAAGCTTCTTAAATGCCTACAAGCTTCATGAAAGCCAGTAGCCACAGAGGGGGCAGTTCTAATTGCTGCATGAGTTCAATCTTTGTGCTTTCTCTGTTCCTGTACCACTAGGCTTTAGCTTGGCCCAGAAGCCATTTGGAGCAACGTATGTCTGGAGCAGCATTATCAGCGCACTTCAAACTCAAGTGGAAGTGAAAAAGCGCCGTCAGAACCTGAAGTGCTATCATGACTGTTTCATTGGTTCGGATGCAGTGGATGTCGTGTTTGCCCATCTTCTACAGAACAAGTATTTTGGGGATGTTGATATTTCCCGTGCAAAAGTAGTGCGAGTGTGCCAAGCGCTAATGGACTACAAAGTGTTTGAGGCTGTCTCAAGGAGGGTCTTTGGAAAAGACAAACGCTCTGTGTTTGAGGACAGTAGCAGTAGCCTCTACAGATTCACAAATGTCTCAAGCCAAGCGGATCTTGATAAAGATTACCAGCAGTGTACGCCACAAAGGTTGGTACATGATGGACTGGGGAGATAAAAAAATCTTACAATAGGGAAATGCCGTGTTATTTTCTGTGGGGGAGAGGGAAACAAAAGGGACAGTGTAATTATAGCACCTGGGTGTGGAGGTGGGGCCGTAACTTTGTGTGGGTTTTTGTGGTGCAGGATAGGTAGGAAACAAGTTTGAAGTTTGGCCTGCATGGTTATTTGTTTTCTGCCTGTTCCACATCCCCTTCAGGGACAGGGGAGCGTGTGGAAGTGGAGTGCCTTGCAGATGCTTATCTACTGGGATCTAAATGAGTTTGAGCAGCTGGCATTCACGTGCATCAAATAGGCTGTACACATGAGAAAACCTTGGGTACTGCTTGCCTACCTGTGGCTTAAGCCACTAATCAATCCAGTCTTCTAAAGAAAAGAGAAATAGAATTGCTTGCTGCTTTCACTGTCTTAGCTTGTGTGGACTTCAAATTTGACTTTCTGCAACGTTTTCAGCTGTTTCTTTATGTACATGTGACTTGTTCATAGGCTAAATAGCAGGCTACAGTGCTTATTGCATGCCATCACAGAGCCAGAGGGAAGTGTAATGGTGAGGGCTTGTTTCACTGCCTTTTCAGGAGTGGGTAAAGAAAACCTTTGAACCGGCTAAACCATTGTAAAACAGAACATGCTACCATGTGGGTAACTTGGCCAGATAACTTGCCTCTGACAGTTTTTGTGTCAAACATTAATCTCTGCATGTATTCTGACATTCTTACAAGGACTTCTCTTCAGGCAGTTACAGCATTAGTTCTGATAAAATACACTTTAAAATCATAAATGATATTGGCTTGGCCAAAAAAATAAAAGCGTGATTTGTGTTTGAGAGGAGCAAACATTGAACAGCTGAAGTGTGTCAACCCCCCGACAGAAAGCTCTAGAAGCAGAGATTAAGAACAGATAGTCTCTCTGTCCTGCTCTCCCTCCCACACTTCTTCAGCTCTTGTTCTGTGCTGAAGAAAACTGCCCCAAGTCTGTGCGTGGTTTTTCTGTACATCAGAAATTCTAGAGAAGCTACTTCAGTGAGCAAAACTGAAAATGGATTGATCACAGTGTATCTTTAAGGGAGACCTTGGAACATACCTGACAAGTAGTTGTGAAGCAAGGTGATTCACTTTGAGTATCAGAGTGAAGGTGTTTTTCTTCTGGGCTGGGCACAGGTTGTCTGCATTCCTTCATTCCTTTTTTTTCTTTTCATTTCTGAGAAGAACAGATCTGTTGATGTGAATGGTTTGTCACATAAATGGCAAAAATAATTGACATCAAAAGGACTTTTGTAGTGCCTAAAATAAAGAAGCTGTACAAACTAAAATTGAATATGCTTAGACTAATAGAAACTTCTGTCTGGAGTTGTTGCATTGCTTTTCCATTTAGTTAGCATATGAGATCAGTTACGAGGAGAACTAGCTAACACCTAGAAATGGGGAACAGGTTTCTGAGAACTTCTCTTAGCTGATGGCATCAGCTGCCTCGCTCCAGGAGAAGTGTTGCTAAGGAACAGCCACCTTCTAATTTCTCCAAGAGCAGCTCTTGCCTTTTGATCTCATTTCACTGTTACGAATGACGTATTAAAACTTTGGACTCTTTCTGAGTGGTTGGGGAGTACTGTATGTGTTACTCTCATACAACTTTCATATAGTTTTCCCTTCCTAACCTATCTGTACTCTGGTAATTGATGTAGCTTGCTAATGCAATCTTTGACAAGCTCTAAGGGAGGAACTGTGTACTTGTGTGCAATGGTTGCACATAGTGTTTTTTAAGATACTGCTTGCTTGAACAGGGGAAATGCTTGTGAGAATCTTGAATCTTAATCTCAGATGGTTATTCATCCAAGTATGTTGTGTTCAGTTACTCTTATGCATGGATAAGAACATACATGTCTGTGTTTTTTCTTCTCAGGCATCAGAAGAACATGCTGTACAACACTACTCCTCTCAAAGCAGAAAGCTTGGAGGATCTCTGGGAAAACCTGAGTTTAAAGCCTGCAAATACCCCTCAAGTAAACATCTCAGAAAGTTTGTCTCGTCGAGGTAAGGCAAAAAGTACCTCACTTCTTCAGGTGGGAGAAGGAAGCTTTTAAGAATAGGGCTGGAAGGACTGATGGCTGACAGAATGGAGGTGGAGTTGAACTGACTCTCCCAGTGTTCTGTTTTGAACACTGTTTCATAACAAGGACAAACTACCTGTTTTGCAGGCTAATTTTATCAGGTAGGATCCAAATAGTGCAGTTAAAATTGCTGTTGAACTTTATGGGGAAGAATACACAACTACGTAGAGCCTCACTGAACTTAGGAACAATCACCTGCAGGATACCTGTGCCTGATTAATCACTGCCAGTAGTCTGTTGTTTGCTAGAACTCGTTCCTAGCCTTTCAACAGTGCATCCGTTCACTTACAGTGCTGTAGGGGGCTGACAACTCACATCTTTTCAGACTGAACTACAAACTAGTATAGCTTTTTTTTGGCTAAAGATGCTTGAGGCATCATAGAAACGTGCAGGGAGCAATAGGAACACTGGAGTGAGGTTATGGAAGCTGTGATAAGGTTGGAGCGTCCCTGCTACACTGCTATCCGTTACCTAGAACAAAGACTGCTTGCAAGTTAGAGTGCAAAGAATGTAAGGCACTTCAGGCTTATCCAAAGAGTGGTTCTCCTACATTGCAGTTAACTAAACAAATGGCTAATTCTTTCCTTTAGCAGTGATAAAATGCACTCACAAGCGATAAGAGATACACTTTACCAGAATAGATTTACAGTAGCAGAAAAAAATTAATCTCTTAGATTTGGGTTGGTGGGAGGGAGGGGAGTTGCCGTTTTCCTAATCTTTATCGCTCTTGCTCTGTGTGTTTTGTGTATTCCACCCTTTCCAGTTATTAATGAGGTCTGGCGAGAACAAACCATTGCTCGTCTGCTGCAGCTTGTAGATCTTCCACTCCTTGACTCCTTGCTTGAGCACCAGGAAGTCAAGCCTCAGCTTCCACAACCAAAGAAGGACTCTGGATATGTCATCACGAGCAACTACTTGGACAGAGAGATTCTCAAGGCTTTCAGTGACTCACAGTAAGTCTTCATTGCTCACCTCCCAGGACAGAAAGTTTTTCGAAGTTGCATACATATGTCAGTCACAGTCAATCTTAAATAGAAAAGTAAGTCTCCAGTACTGTAGGCAAGTGTGCCTGTTCACATCCTTTCTACCTGTTAAACTGGATCCAGTAGTAAAGAGCAGTTGCTAAACTGAATTGGAAGCAAATTCTGCTGCACGCTGGAAGAAGTTTTTGAAGACTGTTACAGGATTTGATAGCATGTAGAGGGAGATGTGTGTAATGTACTGAAGGGGGGAAGAAACAGTTTTGCAGTTTTTCCTTAAAAAAAATAATAATAATAATAAAACAACAAACAGGATGAGTGAGAGGATTAGCATTTTAGCCTTTTTAAAATAGTGAAAGAAAGCTGATCCTGAAACTGTATAAATACATTTAGAAGTACAGGCTGAAAAACCTTGCCTCTTGGAATCAGATCAAGGCTCAGGTTTCTGTTTATCTAGCAGTAATTTTGTCCTTGTCTATAACAGTAGAGGACGTCACTAACTTTAGGTTTAACTGCTTCTGACTGTTATCATTTAATCAAGATGAGTAATTAGTAACCTGCCCAGCTAAACAAAGGGACGTGTGGCTGTGATGTGAGTGGGTCAGCAGAAGTGTTATTTGTGCCAATCCGTAATGAATTCAAGTACTTGCCCATGTGGTGCCCACTGACTGAGAAACTGGCCTACTCACTGCTGTGGTGGAGCCCAACCACCTGCACAGGCACCAGTAAGTAATACTGCAGAGTTGAACCACTTTGTCTTTTAGGACAGATGAATGGCTCTCATCAGCAATAGATTGCTTGGAATATCTTCCTGATCATATGGTGGTAGACATCAGCAGGAACTTGCCCGATCAACTGGATAAAGCTGATGCATGGAAACTACTGCTGTTTGAAAATATTGGTAGATACTATGGCCAGAAAAAGGAGCCGCTGTTGAGCCACGCACCTGAAATTCATTCAGGAATTGCAGAACTACTAGGTGAGCACAGATTGACTTACTGAGCTTATGCGAGGTGGGTACTAACAAGCTGAGCATTTCATGTCAGCCAAGCCCAAAGCTTGCCTTCTGCAGAGCTTTTTTTTAATCTGGTCATAAAGAAGATATTCCCACAACACAAAACACTTTGCACTTATATTCTGTTGTTCCTGTCTATGTAGTAAAGAAAAGGTGAGTGCAATTTTAAATAGATACAGCTAAAATTTCTACTGCAGCCAATTAAAGTAAAACTTAGTAGCATTTTACAGAATGGCTTGCAACTAGTTCATCATACTAGCCTGTTTATCTAGGACATCCTCTGTATTTTTTGGGAGATGATGTCTATAATGAGACACTTGTCACCTAACAGAACGCCTTTCCTTTTTCAGTATTTCAGCCACAATGGATGGAGTTTGAACTGTAATTGAGCTTAACTGGAAGTGCACCAACTCAAATACTGGGCTAAAAGTTTGGGGGTGGGCTGTTCTCTAGATTGAGTGCCTGTGAGAACTTTGTGAGAATGGATTTTTTCATTCTTTTGTTTAGAGAAGTGAACTCTTCAGTGTCCAATTCAGGTGTTTCGTCTGTTGCTGTATTTTATTTTTACATATACCATTATTTTCTTCCAGTGAATGGGAAGATGGAACAATCTCTAGAAGCTATTCAACTCTATTTAAAACTTCTAGACAGTCAAATCAGGGAGGAGTTCAGAAGATTACTGTATTTTATGGCTGTTGCTGCCCATAACACCGAGCTCAAACTACAGAAGGAGGTAAATGTGTGTACTTAACTGTTATCAGTTGCTTTACATTTACTGAAATCTAGATATCCCAGAAAATAGGTCAGAAAGCATGTGGCTACAAGGAAGAGTATTCTAGAGGAGCAAAGCCTTCCCATTTTTTTCCATGTTATTCTTCAGAGTGACAACAGGATGGTTGTGAAAAGAACTTTCTCTAAAGCTATTATCAACAATAAATCCTTATCCAGAGGGAAAACAGACCTTCTGATCTTGTTCCTTGTGGACCACCAAAAGGATGTCTTAAAGGTAAGAGCTAGACAATGACCAGACTTTTATTTCATATGCTTGTGCAGAATTGCTTTCTCTAACCCGCTGTTTGTCTTCATTCAAGATCCCAGGGACACTGCATAAAATGGTCAGCAATAAATTAGTGGCTTTGCAGGAAGGCCAAGATCCTAGTAAGATAACAGGTGAGTGTTATCTTACAATTTCTTATCACATACACAGATGCAAAATAAAAGGGACTGAGCCGAGTTGAAAATACTTGCTGTAACAATGACTAGACAAATTTCCTTCTTAAGGAAGGTGGGCCTGTAGAATCTGGAAGGTGGTTGACTGTTGTTAATCATCTCCATGTTTCCTCCTAGGTTACACATTTTGCCAAAAGCTTGATGAAAGAGAGTATCGTTTGAATACAGAGAAGACCACAAAAGATGAGCTATTATCTCTGCTGAAAGCTATTGATGAAGATTCAAAGCTCTCCGACAAAGAGAAAAAGAGACTGCTAGGTCAGTTTCATAGTAGTAATCCAAGTATTTTTATGCAGTATTTTGGAGACAGAGTTAGTAATATGTGCGTGTGACTTTTAAATTGCTTTCTACATTGCAGTATTGAAAACACTAATATATTTGTAAATCATTTGTATTCATATGTCTAATAAAGTTATTTTATGGAAATTGATGGGATTTATGCAAGTAAATTATTACTGAAGCCAGTGGTACCCAGGTCTGGCCTGTGCTTCATCCGTTCTTTGCTCATTCTTAGTTGCTGTAGGGCCCAAACACTCCTTTTATTGTTCTCCTCACTTGAAGCTGCTTAGATTGACGACTTCTATCGAAGCGTTAAAATGGGAAACACCTTTTCAGGGCTGGGATCTCTTCTTTTCTGGATAGTGAACTGTAAGCTGACCGGGTTTGGTCCTGTTGGAAATATCCAAATAATTTTCCAGGACGGTATCTCTGATAAAGCAGATTTTATTTGCAATTGCAATGGCAGGCCTCCTGCAAGCAGGAGAACATGCAGAAAACAGCCTTACATCTTTTATGCCCTATTACTTGATGCTTCTCTCTTTCTCCCCTGGTTCCTCATTGGCTGAGTACTTCAGGTTCACAATCTTCCAGATGCTCAACTGAACATACAGATACTGGATAAACAAATTGTTGCTAGCTAAGTGCATATTGCTAATTAGTTAACTTCTCACAGTTGCTCATCCAACACTCGGTCATTGTTTCTGGACATCTGCTTGTCCTTGCATAGAGATAAGCTTGGAAGGAGAACACAGGGGACTATCTTCATGCCTACCTGCTGCATCCTAGGCAATCCAGCCTTGTGTAGAGGCCCTGGCTTCTTTGATGTCTGTTAAGTCTGCTTGGATAAGAGCCCCTCAGCAAAAGAAAAACAGAATAGCCCTACAGTATGCTTTCTATATATAATAGAAATCTATAATACTATACCTATACTGATTGATTTAAAAAACTATTGCAGTTTTGCAATCGAGAATTAATCACATAATTCAGCAACTCTACTTCTGAAGCATGTTAGTAACGTGATATTTCTACTTCTTCACATCAGCTAAGGACAAGTTACAAAATACAAATGCATTGTGCTCTACTTCTTCGCATCAATTCCCCCTTCTCAGTATCTAATGCAGAAACAATGTTCCATTCCTACAGTCCCCTGCTCCCCTTTGCTGGCCTTGTAGCTGAACTGTCTTGTGCTGATGTGTGACCCACAGGTCTGTGTAACAGAGCTGCAGTAACGTCTGCTTTACCTTCCCCTGCTTTTCTTCAAGCTTGCCGCCTCTCCACACTCTGTGTGTACATGACAAATCACTAGCTGTTTTAGACTAAAATGGCACCATGCTGAGGAAGTGCCATGGAAGATGTCTGACATCTTTTCCCCAGCTGAATCCCACTCTGTGCCCTGCTGACTTAGCTGGGCTGTAACAACACTGCATTTTTCATCAGTCCGGCTCCAATTGCCACAGCCCTAACTTCTCTGGTCTTCCTTCCTGCAGCACCTTGCTTCTTGTTACCCACGCTAATTAGGAAAGAGCTGGAACAAATGAAAGGCCTTCGGATTTCCTTGTATGTAGGCCCATCGCACGCTGGCACCAGTGCCAGTTTCAAGTGTGAGGACACGCACGGCGTCCTTAGAGGCCCGCTTCTCCTCGGCTGTGGCCATCCTCGCGCCGGTGCTGCACGCTGCCTCGCTTACTGCCGCGCGGACCCCTGGCGGCTCGCGCCGCTCCGGGCACGCGGCCGGAGCAGGCGGCAGCTCAGCGCGGGGCGGGGCGCGGGGCCGCCGGCTCGGGGCGGCCGTAGGGCGAACGCTTGCAGGAGGCCCGGCCCGCCCCTACGCCGTGGCGGCGGCGCTGCGAGGTCGGCGTGCGACGGTAAGGCGGCGGGGCGGGGAGCGCGGGGCGGGGCCGGGGGCGCCGAACGGGGCGGGAAAACGGGGCCGCTAAACGGGGCCGCTGGGCCGGGGGTGAGGGAAGGCGTGGCGGCGGGCCGGGGCTGCGGAGGCGATCGGTGGCGCCTCGGGCCGCGCTTAGCGCTCCTGCTGTTAGAGGAAGCTGCTGAGAACCGGGCTGCGCCGTGGCAGCCGGTGGCGTGGGACGAAAGCCGTGCCGCTGGAATAGGGCCTCAATTATGCGAGTGAACGATGGCAGCGGATGGAATGCTGCGGAGCGAGCGGCTGAGCCAACAAGTGCGCCCGCCCCGCTCCGCGCTGCCGGCCCGCAGCCCGCCTGCTGCCCGCCGCTGAGACGCGGCGCGGGTTGTCCGCTCGGTGGGTTTTTTGGCAGTCTCAGTAAAGCCGCTGGCTTCTGGGCTGGAAGGCGCTTTATAAGGCGTGCCCTGCGTGGGGGAAGCCGCGGCCCGGCGGCACGGCTGGCGGCCTGCCCAACGGCTGCGGGCCGGCGGGGCTCCCGCAGCTCCCAGCCTCGCCTCGTTGTGAAGGGTGGGGAGGGCGGCGCCGGGAGGGCTGTGCCGAGCTCTGAAGCGTGTGTCGGGGAGTCGAGTCATCGCCGTGCTCCATCTTCATTTCGTGCCTTGTGGGAGAGAGCGGGAAGAGTGGCTGAGGCCAGCGGAATGAAACTGAAAGCACCTGTGAAAATGCTTTGATTCGAGCGTTTCTCTGCTCCCTTTCACCTGTCACGTATTTTTTGCTTCAGCTGTTGCTGTTGTCTTCCTGTAATGGCTTCTTTATTGCCAGATCTTGCTGCTGGAACGTTGGCAGTAGCAGACCTTCTGTTGTGTAGGTTGGAGATCCAGCCCCGCTTGTGCTGTACTGGTTTGGATAGCTGATGCTGCACCCAGTGGGAAGCACAGCATGCTTTAGAGAAAGGCTGGCGATGGGACTGTAGCTCTGCACTCACTGGCGCTGCCCTGTGCTGCCTGAGATGCTCTGTGAGTGCAGAGAGGATTGGGAGCTCACAGCTGGGACATCAGTGCTTGTGTGCAAGCAGAGTGCCAGAGCAGAAGGCTGATATGTGCCTCTAACAGTACCTGCGCTGATGCCTTAGATTTCTTGCATAGATTTATCCTATGCTTTTTGTGCTCTACTTTCTTGTCTAAAATAAAAATCATGCATCACTGTAGACAAGTGTTGCTGTGTGTCGTTGCCAGACGATGATCCTGAGTCATTGCTGTAGAAGGAAAACATTTTTTAAATGCCAAGTCTTCTGGCTGTCTTGTAGAATCAGAATGGTGCACTCATTGAAGCACTGATGGAGTAGGGTTAGTTCTTACAGCTGTTGTATGGAGAAAAAAACGTCTGCGCGTTTTATATTCCTGTGTAATTGCTTGTTTATGTCTGTGTTGCGTCCTCTTGGATGCAGTCCTTGACACTGCTAAGTGTTTTTCTTCTAGTAGCTGCGAGGTGCCTTTGGAAGCTGCATCTGTTGTTGAGAGCTTCTTTCTTTCGTATTTGGAAAGTGGTGGTTGCTGGAGAAGTAGGCAGTTGGTGACAGAGGAAGGTGGTGCTTTCCCAGGAGCTTCCTTTTTTTGGAAGGCTTTTCCTGACTCTCTACTCCAGAGAGCTCATATGCTGTCAAACAGCCTTTCCTAAAATCAAAGTCAGAATGGTAGCCTCCTGTGTAATACTGAGTTTTCAGAGGTAAGACATGCAGATTATTTCTGACTGTAAACCCAGTGAAGGTAACATGCTTTTCCAGTGTTCAGTTTTTCAGTGCATCGTGGACTATGCTGCAAGTGCTTGTGATGTAATATAGACATTATTTAGCATCTACTATGCCTGTGCTTTAATTGCTGTTACTGTTATTTACTATTTTTTTTTTTTTTTTTTTTTTAAGAAATCTTTCTTGTATCACCAGCATGCATCACCATGACTCTTGCATGGAATGAAATTGCAGGAGAATGATTTGATATTTGCCCCAAGTCCTTTTTCAGCTTCTTAATTCACGTGGGTAGCGTGGAGCGAGGGCGTTTCAGTTCTGATCGGTTGGAACAGGTCACAGTTCAGGAGGATGTTGAGTTCAGAATGCTTCACTGTGTGTATGATAGATAAATACCTCATTTGGCATAATCAATTGGCCAAACATGTTTGTAATACTCTTAGAAGATGTTTTTCGCTGCTCGTTCAGTATCTTTTTCTGTGACATCTTTATGCAGTAGGTGAGGCAGGGGAAGAGTTCCAGATTTTTCAGAACTCACTTGCAATACAGATCAAGTGAACGGTAGCTGTGTTGAAAGCATCTCTTTCTGTGTGAGATGGGAAGTGAGTCACTTAGTCCAGGTCCCCTGCCATTATGGGAATGACATCATGTAGTTCCTCATAAGATTTCCTTTATTCTCAATTTTTTTCTCAGTCAAGAGAACTGAAGATGTTTTCTCACTCAACCACATTATAAATCCTTATATGTTATAAAATGCTTATTCATTCCCTTCTTAATCTTTCTTTTTCTTTTTCTCTTTTTTTTCTGAGAGGAAACAACTGACAATGTCTCAGAATCCCCACAAGCCACATTCAAGCGAAGAAAAGTTGAGTGCCTTGGAGGATGATCAAGAGAGCTTGGACAACTCGGAGCAGTCAATCAGTAACAGAATACAACAAAGTGTTCCAGGTTCACATGGAGATGATACACCAAAGTGTAAGCACAACTGCCCTTCATTAAAAAAAAAAAAGTACAATTCTGTGTCTTCTGCAGTGGAGATGGTGATGGGGTTTTATAGTACTCTCTGTAGGTTTGTTTTGCAATTAAATATTACACAACTCCTGATCACTTGCTTTGAAGCTGCTTTTAACAAGTGCTTTTTCCTCCATTTTGTTTTAGCACTGAATTGTTCACAATAACCACATTGTTCTGAGCCACATATGTCTTAGATCTTTCTGTGTCTGCACTCACAGAAAGGATAAGCCCTACTCCAGTATACTGTAGCCAAACTGATGCCTGCTGTTTGCATGATCAGCCAAACCTTCTGGATTGTTGCATCCTCTTTTTCTGCCAGAGGGCAGGGAAGGCCATCATCACAAAATCATGCCCTGTCATTTTATTCCCCTCTTATCCAGACACACACAGGTGGAAAGTTGCACTTTTAATCCTAATGCTACTTCTGCTGACAAGGAGATTTCAGGACTGTCATACTGCAGGTTTATTCCTAGGGCATGTTTTTCTTTGTCGTTCTGCTTTTAACATCAGAAACTAGATGCAAGATCTCTAATTACTTCTGGCAAATCTATAGATAAGATAAAGGGGAAGTTTATTTGGTTCCAGAGATTGAGATCAAAGAGATGGAATTGCTCACATAACTAGCCCCAGATTTCTGTCTGGAGAGTCCCAGGATGTAACATTTTATTTGTTGCATTATTTTTTTATTGCAACAGTGTTCATTATTACTGGAGTTCAGTGTTTTGCTTAGAGTCATGTTGCACACAGGAGATGTACCCTACGGAGGAAGACTATGGACATGTGAAAGTGAAATGCATTGCCCTGTCTTGCCTTCCATTGTACCACAAGAAAGTCATTGGTCTCAAGCACTTTTCTTTCGGGAGGAAGCAGATATAATATGAGAATGAAGTAACATGATTTAAGAGCATTCTTTGGTAAATGAAAGAGTCTCTTAGCTTTGAGTGTGTCTACTGAGTGAAGTCATCTGGCAGCTGGACAGGAGAGCACTCATTCAGCTGCAGGCTTGCTGTGCTGCTGGTAATTCTCTGGATATCAATCCTTGCTGTGTTCCCAGAGTCACTGTGCAAGATATACCTCCAGGCAGAAGGAAATCTGGGTTTGAGAGTGCTGCATGAAAAGAGTGAGATGGTAATGAAAAATTAGAACACTGCATGTATTCTTGGAACTACGCTGTATGTACTTGGAACAGCTTTGAAAGGCAGACAAGTGAAGGGCAGTTAGTTTTAAAGGACCTTTTCTATGTTACTAGTTTAAATCCAATCAAACTGGATCTTCAAATGAGGCAGCCGTGCTGGTTTTTCTGAAACATCTCAGTAAACCTAGCCTGGTTGGTTTCTTTCATGTTGGGAATTAATACATTGCTCCTGTGTTTTGTACTGCTGTTGAAGTGAATGAATTACAGAGAGAGGAAGCAATTCAACTGTAGCAATTCTGTAGAGGTGTTTCCCTCCTGTTCAGCTGTATATTTTCTGGAGCAGCAGAGATAAACCTTGCTATTCTTGCCTGCCTCACCCAAGGACACCAGTACTGTAGCCTTCTCCTTTGTCAGTGTCACTGTCTCTCTTTTGACTTCACAGGCTATTCTACAGTTGGCCACTTCCTTTGTCTCCTACCTCATGGAAGCTGACCTGTTTTTTTCAGGTGTGATGCTTCCTTCTGCTCACTTCTGTCCTCCAGGGCCCAGTTTGAAGCTGCTTGTCCATCCTTATCCCAGTGCCTGCCGTAGGATCTTTTGTCACTTGGGGGGGGGAAAGGAGTCTGGAGAAGTGCCAGTTGCACTGAAAGTAGAGGGAATAATTATTGCTTAACGTCAGTGGTGGCTTGTTTGCTGGATGGTTTAGAAATAAAGTCACTTGAAAAGCATGAAATGGAAATGACAATGTCTACACAGTAATTAGAGGAATAGTGCAGTGGCAATGCTAGTCTTCTTATCATCTCTTCTCATCATCTAGTGTAGAGGGAAAGATGCAGTTAAGCTATTCAAAATAAATATTTTGGGGCTTTTTGTTTGTTTCTTCAGATGTTGTTATCAGCAGGCTCTTCTCTGCAGATTTCCCTAGATAATTGTCTGACACTTTAATGTGTGTTGTAGCTAGCCCTCCTCGGCCCGTGTCAGTGGAAGAGTTAATGGAAACAGCTAAGGGAGTAACCAACATGGCCCTAGTACACGAGATTGTTGTTAATAGAGACTTCCAGATCAAGCCAGCTGAGTTACCAGAACACAGGTAAGATTGCTACCAAGTAGATATATTAAATCAGTTCTCATTTGTGTAACTTTGGAATAACTCTAGTGGATGAAATAAAGGCTCTGGCTAGTTGTGCCCAACAGTGCCTGCTAGGGAAGATTTAGGAAGAAGCATAAGAAGGTAAGCATGCAGTTCTGTTTCCTCAGGAATGTGTGAATGTGGAAAGTGAAACTCCTCAGTAATTGTTGGGGCATGTTTTGTGGAAATTGCAGTATGGTTTCTGCCAGTGTCCCCTTATCCTGGGAGCCTGAAGCTGCAGACTTTGAAATATGCAAGTCTAGCTGCAGGTGCAGGTAGTGCTCTTAGCATCACTTAAGCTTTCCCTGCAGGTGGGAATAAGATGAAACTCATCATTTTAGCTTTGCTTTTTTTTTTTTTTTTTTTTTAAATCTAATGTCTGTTTCTCCAGGGATACACATCTATGTATTTTGAAGAGACTTCTGTATTTTATTAGATTAGGCCTTATTCCTTTTTAGTCTGGAGTCTTTCCTGCTGTCTGACCTGCAGTAGTCCTGTTCCCCACTAAGAGAGGCAGAACAGAAGTGGCTTTCATGTCTGGTCCCAGAGTGCCCAGTGCAGCAAACCCAGTCCTATTGACAGATGCTTTGTCTGCTGTTCTGTTGTGTTTGGTTTTTTTTGTTTGCTTTGTTTTTCTCCCCATACAGAGAGATGTGGCTGACAGTGTGTTTCTTGGGTTAATTTGTGAAAGTGAGGGTGTTTTTACTGGGAGAGACTTGGACCACTGGAACAGCATTGTCTATGAGTGTCCTAGCTACTCCACTTTTGAGAGACTCTCGTATTTTAGAGTTCAGGCACCGATTTGCTCTGTGTTCTCAGCACCATCACAGACTCGGGCACTGTTGTCCAGTCACTGTTTGTCACATTTCATACAGGTTGTGTACAATTCATGCATGGTCCCATGAGCTGGGACCTCTCTCTATGATGGAAGTGTTTGGAAAGCATACCTAAGGCATGCAGAGCTCCCTGTTTTGTGTTGTCTTCTGTCTCAGCATCTTTTGGGGGGATTCCTGACAGGTGTCTTCTGCTTGTATGTGATGGCTGACGATGAATGCTTGATGTAAAATGTCACAGTTAAAGCAGTGCTTTTCAATTCAGTGTCTGCTTTTGTTCCTTGTTCCTTCTTATGGTTTTCTCACTTGAAAAAGTGCAGTGATGGTGCGTAAGTTTTCTGGTATGCCTCAATACCATGAAATACCATGAAATTTATCTCAAGATTTTTCAGGGGAGAAGAATTTTAAACAAATTTTCTTCTTTCCGTGTGTTCTTCTCTCCACCTCCCTTAAAAAAGAGGGGTGAGAGGGAGAGAACCAACCCAGTCCTTCAGTAACTTGGTTGCTTTTCTCACAGATTCTGAACAGTGGCTGCAGTTGTTCAGCACAGTGTCAGATTTGCATCTCTTCACCAGATCAAAGGAACAGATACATTGCAGAGATCATCTTACCAAGAGTGCCTCAGCGTAGTGATCTGCCAGGACTGCTCCTAGTACAAGATCCCTCTGTTCAGTGAAAGTTTTGGCTGAAGAGGCACTCTGGAATCTTCCTTGGAATAATGGCTTTTTTGTGTTTATGTATAATTTGAGTCTCCCACAGCTTGAATGTTTGTGTAGGGAAGTAGTTTGAGGAGAAAGCAGTTGGAATTTGTTTGTTGTTTATAGGAACTGAACGGAGGCTTTAGCTCAGGGTAATGGCCATATTTATGTGTTGAAGTGCAAAAGCTTTCATGTCACAGAAGTTGCTTCATTTCTGTTATGTTTCCTTAATTAATTTTCCTTAGTCAAAGGAATGTTAATACTGTCCTTCTGAAGATGAGGAATAATTTTTATCTGTTTTTATTAGTATTCCAGCGCTATACTTCAGAGGTGCTTTCAAGGATTTTAATTGGTAGCCTTCTTTGCTTGTGTCTAACCATTTATTAGGGTATGAGCTGTGCCAAATTTTGTGCCTAGTTTATCTTGCCTGAGTGACAAAATGATAGTTTTCTTCTCTGTCAGTCCTCAGATAGTCACCATTACATTATCTTCACATTACTGCATGCTGTTCTTCGGGAGCTGCAGGTTCCTGCATGTGGTGGTGCAGACACTAATACAGTTATTTTGAACTGGTCTTATTTATCACAGCTTGGAAAAAAAAGTAAGAGAGATTGTGCACAAAGTTTTCTGGGATTGTCTGGAAGCTCAGCTGAAGGAAGAGCCACCGACATACGACCACGCAATTAAACTGTTGGGAGAAATTAAGGAGGTAAGGTCACGTGCTACCAAAGTAGATCATTGAGTTTTTATAGATGGGTTGATGGGAATGGGCAAAAGAAGTTAGAAGCTTGGTTGTTCATAAAGGAGGCTCTTGATTGTTTTCACTACTGTCTGATTTTCTCTGCACATAATTAAGTTGTGTGAGCTGAGGAGAGCGACTTGAATGTGCAAACAAATGGGAAAGCATGTAAAATGAATCAAGGTGGGTTTCATACTTCCAGGTTTCCTCCACGTTATGACAGTCACGTTGGGTATGGAATCACTGAGATGTCCCACCACTGAGTGGACAGAGCCAGGTGCAATAGTCTAAAGTGTGATCAGTACTACAAAGCACTTACCACTTAGTGACTTCGTGTCACAAAGAGTGAGGGGAGACATTTGAATTTGGAGCTGACAAATGGCTTCGTGGCCTTGTTCAGAAAAGAGCAATTCTGCTCTCAGATGGCAGTTAGCTTAAATGAGAAGTGGTGCAATTACTGCTTTGATCCCTGCTGTGTGACACTGAGAACTAATACACTGTTAAAAACTTTCTGTTTCAGAATCTTCTGTCTTTTTTATTTCCTGGTCATACAAGATTAAGAAACCAGATTATGGAAGTTCTTGATCTGGATTTGATAAAACAGGAGGCCGAAAATGGGGCTCTGGACATTGCTAAGTTGATAGAATTTGTTATTGGAATGATGGGGACTCTCTGTGCTCCAGCTCGAGATGAAGAAATTAAGAAACTGAAAGATATACGTGAAATAGTTCCTCTCTTCAGGTACTGAAATGGTACATACTGTCATACTGAGTGTCCTTTAAATAATTTTAGAGATGCGTGGTGTGGGGGTGTTTGCACCAGGGCAACCTGCAGATCTTCATAGAAATGAAAGAGCTGTGCAGGGATGTGGCCATGGGTGTGATGGGGCAGAGATGTTCCAGAAGTTCTTAACACGGACCCTTCCTGTTGGGGTGAATTGTGTTTGTCTGGCTCCAGCCTGTTACCGAAGGGTGTTTTCTAAATGCCAAATGTGTGTAAACTATCAGATAACAGGTGAGCAGTTTGTTTGTAGCAGGATTTATTATCAACAGCAGGAGGGGAAGAAAAAGCAGTTGCAGGAATAGGGGTACATATCACTGTTTTTAGCCAGTTCTTCCTTTCCCCTCAGTTTGAGCTGTCTCCCCCCAGTATAATATGCTTTTAGTTCTACCAGGGGCATACATCCTGGGCTTAGGAGCATTGAGGTATCTGCTTCATCACTGTGTTCTCAGCTGAATAGCTTGAGTTTGAGGAAATCTTATTAACCTTGTTTTCTAATTTGATGACCTTCCGAGAGTTAAGGTTTGACTTGGCAGAATCACTACTAGCAGGAGGCATGTTGCTTTGAAATTAAGGGGCTTTGGTTTTGTTTTCCTTGGGTCTAATTATTTGCTTCCCTGAGCAACTGAGGTTGGCTATATAGGCAGCCAACAGATAGTATGCAAGCTTGGAAACTCGGACATCTTTCTGTCTGTTCAGCTTTACATTGTAAAATTTGGGGAATTTATCCTACGGGGCTAGTGAAGTTAATTGTGTGGAGACCTTTCTTCAGGAGAACAAGTTTTATTTTGTATTTGGGAGATGCATGTGTGTGCTCAAGCTTTTTTTATCTGTCTCTGAAATTAACCATCCTGTTAACGTTTCCCATGCGTGTTTTTGTTCTTTCCTTAGGCAATCTGCAATAAATCTTATACAAATAACCTCTTACACTTCTGCAGCCTTGAATAACTTTTTCTGTTTGTTTGTTTAGAGCAATTTTCTCTGTGTTAGACCTAATGAAAATGGATATGGCAAACTTCGCTATCACTAGTATTAGACCAAAATTAATGCAGCAGTCTGCTGAATATGAAAGAAAGAAGTTTCAGGAGTTTCTTGAGAAACAGCCAAGTATGACTTTGTTTCTTTCTTTTTTCCTCTCTGACCTCTCAGTACATGGTGTGTCTTTGCTTGTAGATCATAGAAATAAATCAGATTTCACATTAATTTTGATATAATTCATGTGGTAAATGACACCTTGTGCCCCGAAACTGAGGTTTGAGAAAAATATACAGAAACAATATATCTGCACTTAGCACGTGGCCGTTAGTTTCGTTTTGGTTGATGAGGGGCATCATAGCGTCTTCTCACTTCTGATTTCGTGTAGCTGTACAGTGTTAATATTGTTTTAGATGTTCTGCTTAATGCAGTAAATGAAATGCATGTCAACAACTGGTATCATGGATAATTAGAAGTAGTAACTAATGGCTTTATCTGGAAACTAGTGATAGGAAAAAAAACCTAACTTTGACAAGGAATTTCCTTAACGAGACTTTTTGTCTCCTACAGATTCTTTAGACCTTGTCACAGACTGGTTGCAGGAAGCAGCAGATGATCTTGCAAAGCTGAGACATAAAAAGTTACCTCCCCCCAGCAGTGCTGTTGGTGCTGCTGGTGGAGCTGCTGCGTTGTGCTCCACTGCCATACAGAATCAGGCATATCTGAAGCTGCTGAAGTGGGATCACACAAACAGGCCTTTCCCAGAAGTAGGTATCTAACAAGAAAAATGATTTCCATGCTTGTTCTACTACTTTTCTGCTCTTGGAATGTAGCCAACTGAAATTACAGCACTAAAACATTGATCTCTTGATTGAAAGTTCTTGTGGTATTTCTTTTTCAGTACTCAGTTGAAAAAGAAACAGTTGTTTCCCTTTTGTTCCTGATATTTGCCTGCTGAGTAGCTGCTGCTCTTTTCTGTGTCTGTGTCTCCAGCTTATTAATTCATGGAAGTTGCCTGAGGTAGGGCAGAACGCTGGGTGTCCCAGGATTGCCTGGGTTGGGCTATACTTCCTCCATGCCTGCAGCCCTCAGCTCTCCTTTGAATGTGAATGGTCTTGTTAACGAGTTTGGGCAAACATCGTCTCTGGAATACAATAACTGACAAAACAAAATGTTTAAGGGAGTTCTTGAGTAAATGACTTGAAGTTAGTCAGAGAATACAGAAACTGTGGTTTTGGTAGCTGTTCCTCCTGGTCCAGCATCTGTCATAGTTTCCAAACTCTGATACAGAAGTTGGTTCTTCGGTGCTTTATCATCATTCAGCTGTTCCTCTTTGTGCTGTAGAAGTTACATCTGGGTTCAAAGACTTTCCAGCCCCCCTTGGAATCGGGGCTGCTGTGTCTATTTCACATTGTCACAGAGAAAGCAAAGGTGGCTGTTATTCAGTAGAATGTGGTATTTCCTGAGATCACGTGTCTTTTTTTGGAACAGAAGGGCCAGGAACTCATGGTGGGGAAAAAATAAACAGCTCCTTGTTTATAGGAACAACAAGGCCGAAAAGTTTATCATCTTTGTGTTCCTTTAAATCCATTTGAGAGGCTTGTGTAGGCATTCCAATTCAGACTATTCAACACGTAATGTTTCTTACCAATATGAATTTTCAGGATTTGTCAGATTAAAACTTGCTTGCAACACAAACTCAGTAGTTGTAGGCTGGGATATTGGCACTGTTAAAACTTTCATTTTTCTTGAGAATTAATGCAATAGCTGTGTGAGAGCACACCACTGGTCTTGTCGAGCTGCCTTCATTTTGCACATCTGTAACGTGAGCAGTGCTCTTCCTTTCCTCAGGACTTCTTTTGGTGATGGTTTGTTAGTGAATTTCTTGCAGCTCTCTCCAAAGTGTTTGAGCCTGGTCACTGTGTCAGCATGTCCAATGGAGTCTGATTTGGTCAAACAGACCAGTGTTTGGTATCACAAAGCAGAATATTGCAATGTATCTATAGAGTAGTATTGTGCATTACATATTAAAATGCATGTTTGTATTTCCAACCTCGTGGAGAAGAGCTAGTCATAATCCACACTATATCCATAGGATCAGATCAGAGATAATTTGGACTGGAAGGGACAGCTAAAGACTAACCAGTCCCATCTTCAGAGCCTTCTGTGCTGAACTTTACTCAGCCTAGTACGTAGTTTTGATTACTGTCTTATTCACTAGACATCTTACCTAAATAGAATGAGACTTTTTTTTTGATATTTGCTTTTGGCAGATACTGAGAGTTAAGGTCTTAGAGTTACCTGAACTATCTTAGCTGGCATCTCCATTTCATTTCACAGCCTAGTGTACAGATCTCATCCTGTGCTGGCTTTCCTGTTCTCTGCAGACAGTGCTCATGGACCAGAGGCGCTTTCAGGAAATACAGCTGGAACTGGAGCAGCTCCTCATGGCTGGGACTGTCCTTCTGGTCACGTTCAATGCAGCGGGCGCAGCTCTCATCGATGTGCCTGGATTTGCTGAGAAAATCAAAACCATTGTCAGGGTGCTGCTGACAGGAATGCATCTCCCGTGAGTACTGAGTAGCCCTATTCACACGGTCAGCTGCAGTTTCATGATGGCTCCACCAAACGATCAGTTTCAGCCTCGCTCTGGTTACGGAGTGCAATACACAGAGGAAGTGATGGGGGCTTCTTATTAGCTGAGGCTGACAGTTTTTATTTCTCTTACTGATCCAGAGCCAGCTTTTTGATAGGGCATGCTCATTTTTTAACATCACGTTACTGACCATACCAGCATAGAGCTGATTTCCTGTAGCTGTGCAGTGTTAATATTGTTCTAGATGTTCTGCTTAATGCAGTAAGTGAAATGCATGTCAATAACTAGTATCGTGGATAAGTAGGAGTAGTAACTAATGGCTTTAGAGCTGTGTGTGTACAAGCAGCAAACTCTGCTCACAGTTTTGGCTGGGCTCCATCGACACAAATGGCACAAATTAGCTGCCCCCAGACTGAGGTTGTTGTGCACATTGTGGGTTGACACTTATTCTTCATGTTGCTCTGAAATGGCTGTAGACTGAAAATCAGCTCATACGTGTATGGATTGCACAGGCTGAAGGTTTTCTTTTAATGCTATCCCATCCCCTTGTGTTACAGCTGAACATGACTTTCATGTCCATAAAATTTACTTTATTATTCTCGCATTATCTGGATTACTTTTCTTCCACTATGTTCGATAAATAAGACAACTGTAATTGGATACTTTATTTTCAAAAGATGGGGAAAGTGTGAACAACTCCAGTAGCTAAGCAGTGCTCTACTCCACATTCCATAGCTCCTTTAACCTGAAGGAGTCTTTGGCCACCATTGGTGAGAAGGTGTGTGCTGAAGTCAACGGCTGCCTTTCCCAGCATGGCTTTGCACCGTTCACAGCTGAGAAAGAGACTGTGCTGAAAGGACAGATCCAAGCAGTGGCCAACCCTGATAACACCATCTGTAAACTAATAGGTATGCTTTGACAAAAATACTCAGTTCTCACATGACAAAGTGTCTCTATTTATAAAACTGTTAGTGGACATCATGCATGGTTTCTATTTTAATTTATTTCAAGTATGTGCTTGCTGTGCTCTGTGTTTTACATGAGATTAGAATCTTTCTAGCTGTCTATCTCTGCTGAAGACAAACCAAAACTCTTGGTCTAACTTTTCCAGATTCTCGAATTCAGAAGTTTCTGGAGAATTGTCTTGCATCTGGTCACCAGAAAGCGGTACCGACTGTTCCTGGAGGATTAAGCCCTATTCAGAGGGAGCTGGAAGAGATTGCTGTCAAGTATGTTCGTCTTGTCAACTACAACAAGATGGTCTTCAGTCCTTACTACGATGCTGTTCTTGGCAAGATACTGACTAAGGAAGAACCCCAGCTTGTAGGGGTGCCGGAGGAATCGTGAACACAGTTTGTGTACCAATGCAGTATTAATTTTATCAGCTGTTTTGAAAAATTGCACCCGTATTTGTCTAGGAAAACAGCTCTCCATGTCAATACTATTTCCTTTTAAGTCACTCACGCTGCCCCATGAGGAAAATGCGTGACTTGCAATAGGGGTTCTGAGATAAGTGATGAAGGAGGGATACATTTTTAATGTAAGTATGCAACTTCTGTGAGGGAGTGTTGTGGTAGTTTTCTGGCTATAAGATTTCCAGGCAGGTGCTATGTAGGAAAAGTTAAACAGCCAAACTCTGTTCTTAAGTGGTTCATTTTAGTGTTTTTTATTCTCGTTTGTCGTGAATTTGGTTTCGCTCATCCACAGCAGGTTAGCAGTGGTCCTTCCCTGCAGGGAAATGTGGCTTTTCAAAAAGATCTTACTTTAAAGACTTCAGTAAGCTAAAACTCTAGGTAGGAGAAACCTTAACAGGCGAAAAACAAAGCCAAACAGCACTTACTGTATCATTATGGTTGGTGTGGTAGGCTACTAAGTTTTTCTTTCAGCATTTTTCTGCATTTTTAATAGCTTTTTTTTGCTGTTTACCTGCAGATGTTACAGAAACAGAGTGTATTTTTGTAGCAAATTTTCTGGTTATTGGGTAACTGTCCTCTGCTTTGTACAGTATTTAACAAGGTGGCAATCTTACAGATTGCAGCTGTATTTATCTCCTGTAAAGACTTCAGAAAGGCAGAGCTGAAATGTTTTGATAAAAGTGGCGTTTCTTACCTTTTTTTTGCTAGTAGTTTACTCCTTTTTATGTGAAATACTAATTTTGAAGTTAATCTGTGCCATTTACAGAAGGTGGACTTTAAGTGTGTTAAACTTTAGGACAAAAGTCCTACTTGTTTTTTAAAACTACTACTTGAGATGGCTGCGTTTTCAGTCATGTCTTCAAAGATATCCAGGAGGTGCAGAGCACTAATTAAAGTGCGAGTGAATTTAAATTGTAGTGGGAAGTGCATTATTTAATATTAGTTTGAATACGCAATGAATGTTTTCAATAGAAGATTTTATTCTTTTTTACATTACAGAGGTGATTTTAAAACCTTAAATATTTAAGGTCTTGAATTTCATTAGTTACGTGTTGTATAGATGAGGGTTCACAGAAGAGCTCAGTGATCTTACAGCCTTATTGCAGTTTTAAACTCAGCTAGGAGGTAAGTGCAGTTCAAGTTTTCCTCTAGCTCTTGAGCTCCATTATTGTTTTCATAAATTCATCAAATTTTGATTACTAAGTTCATAATTATAAACAGTAAGCGTCCAAAACACTAGACTGTACCCAAAATGTTGTTTTCTCTAAAAACAAAACAAAACAAAACAACCACCAAAACCAGTGATGTGAAATGAATACATGGCCCTCTTATTGCTGACATCCAGGTTCATTTCATTAATCAACTAATCAACCAACATAACAGCCCATCTAAAAGAAAGCGCTTGATTGGGAATCAGTGTTGATGCTTTCTTTGCTGGCTTTCTCCTGAATGTCAGCAGGCTGAAACTGCTGTGAGTTCAGAGGCAGGGGGGTTAAGCAAGAGCTTTTGTTCTGTATTAGCCTCTGCAACTATAATGTGGGTTTTTTTCTCACTCATTACAACCCTGCATTTCCCAAGGGGGAAAAAAACCAACCCTAACAGTGAAACTCTGTAGTAAGAGATCACTTTTCCCTTGGCCAAGTTTACTCAAATAGCAGTGTGGATGTCTTTGGTAGCTCAAAAGGGAGTAGGGTGGTTAGCCAACAAAAAGTAGAGTGGGTTTTTGATATGGTCACAGGATCACAGAATCACAGAGTTGTAGGGGTTGGAAGGGACCTCCAGAGATCATCGAGTCCAACCCCCTGCCAAAGCAGGTTCCCTACAGCAGGTCGCACAGGTCGGCATCCAGGCAGGTCTTGAACATCTCCAGAGAAGGAGACTCCACCACCTCCCTGGGCAGCCTGTTCCAGTGCTCCGTCACCTCACTGTAAAGAAGTTCTTGTGCACATTGGTGCAGAACTTCCTATGCTGCAGTTTCCGGCCGTTTCCCCTTGTCCTGTCTCCACTCACACTGAAAACAGTCTGGCCTCGCCATTCTGCCCCCCACACCTTAGATATTTATAGACCTGGATCAGGTCCCCTCTCAGTCTTCTTTTCTCAAGGCTGAACAGACCCAGCTCACTCAGCCTTTCCTCATAGGAGAGATGCTCCAGGCCCCTCACCATCTTGGTGGCCTCCCTCTCTTTCCAAGAGATCCCTTTCTTTTTTGTACTGGGGAGCCCAGAACTGGATGCAGTGCTCCAGATGAGGCCTTACCAGGGCAGAGTAGAGGGGGAGGATCACCTCCCTCGACCTGCTGGCCACGCTCTTTGCAATGCACGCCAGGATGCCATTGGCCCTCTTGGCCACGAGGGCACACTGCTGGCTCATGGCCGACCTGTCGTCCACCAGGACACCCAGGTCCTTCTCTGCAGAGCTCCCCTCCAGCAGCTCATCCCCCAACCTGTACTGGTGCATGCAATTATTCCTCCCCAGATGCAAGACTCTACACTTGCTTTTGTTAAACCTCATCTGTTTTTTTCTTGCCCAGCTCTCCAGCCTGTCCAGGTCTTGCTGAATGGCAGCACAGCCTTCAGGCATGTCAGCCAATCCTCCCAACTTCGTATCATCAGCAATATCATCAACATCATCAGCAGTCAGGATACTACAGAGGTCTTCAAGTTTTCTGCAGCTCCTTACTGTACTTTGTTATTAGTCCGGAATCCATCTTGAAATACAGTCTCTAGCTCTGGAGCTGCAAAAAAATTAATTCAGTAGTCTGGGTAATAAAGGAACTACCCAAAACATGTTTGCAGTTTAAAAAGCAATACAAAACTGAAAAACCTGTTTTCCTTTTTGTAATTGAGAGTTGCTGAAGTTTAGAACCGAATGCTGTTGTTTTACTATTCCCCAGAGGCTTCTTTTAAAGGTCTCCAAACTGAGCATAGGACAAGCAGTTGGATGTTGTGAGGTGCTGGTCTCAGGGATGCAGGGAAGAACAGCACAGTGTTTAGAAAAGCATGTGACTGATGGCAGAATGAGTGGGACTGAGTTATGGGTAGGTAAGGTGGTACTTACCAGAGTGCTCCCAGTCTGTGACTGCCTACTCCAGCCTGCTGTGACATGGAAGCACAGACTGTGCTGCTGCTCATGCACATGTACTGCTCACTAGGTATATCCAGTAAGTTCATCTCTTCTCTCAGTAGGGATCTGTCCTGGGCTTAGTGTAGGAAAAAATGCAATGCTCACACCTGGCTCTGGGCTTGCCTTTGGAGGTTACACACTGGAAACCTGGAGTGCCTCTGTTTCTTTAAGCTTCTGTAGGCCTGGCAACTGGAAAAGATCTAAAAGAGACTGTAAGAGGTTCCCACAAAAACTCACATTAGTGACTTTTCCCTGGTCACTGTTTAATGATTATCAGTGACAAATAATAGTTTCTCTGCATTGTCTTTAAAAGCAATAGGCAGATGTAATTAAGTGACAGAGCAAAAAAAAAAAAGGTAGGATTGATATGGCTGCTGTACCTTACCTCTATGTCAGTATTCATACATGCGCTGTTCCATCTTTTCTTTCTGGTAGATAGGAGCAATGACCTACAGTTATCTCTACTGCTGGTGGTGGGAATGTCCTTCAGCTTGTCTGGGTACCTGAATTCCCTGTCCATCGTGGGTGTTCTTACAGTCTCAGGAGAGCACAGTCCTGAATAGTCCATTACAAGTTAAAATCTAAAGTATATATAGTAACTGCTTCAAAAGTTCATATGGCTTTTCTTTTTTTATGAGCTCGTTTAAAAGTAACCAGTTAACCTCAGTGGCTAATATATTAACACTTAATCATGTGCAAGTTAAGTGGAGGACTAATGCAGGTGTCCAGGAACAGGCTGCAGTGGCTAGTACTCCTGGCCAGCCCACATTACAGACCTGTAACTGGTCTGTGTTACATTGGTAACTTCTTTAAACAGTCCTGGAATTCAAAGTAAAGGAATACTGTTTCCTCTAGAGAAACTGAACAGAAAGCTAATTCCTGTATGTACGCTCTGATCAATTTCCTGTGATGGTTTTAATTCTTGGTAACATTGCTTTCAAAGTTGCTGAGTAGTATTTAAAAAGTAATTTGTTGTGTTTGAATAAAAGCAGAATGAGGCATGATGTTATCGATATCCTTTTATTTTAAAGGAATGTTTTCTCCCACTTTCAACTACAAAACAGATTCCAAACATTCTGCCATAAATAAAAACGACCAGTAAGGCAGGACACTACATGGACAAAGCTGAGAACAACTGTCTTCCAGAAAATGTGAATTAAAAATGCTTCACAATTATAAGCCATCCAGTTTTTAAAATAAAACTGCTGAAAACCCACAAGATTTCAAGTGGTAGATGTGAACACCCTCGAACAAAATGCAGTTAGACATTTTGCACTTTTGGTTCTGAAAACCTAGTTTTGTTCAGAGCACATTCTAAGATTGTTCTGTCTGTTTTTGGGTCAAGAACCATACAGAAGAGAGGCACCACAGTAACAAAACCATTTTCAAGATTTTTTTTTCTTTGCATCTGTCCCTTTTAAATGCGTTACATTTAAGAGACTGACAAACTCAACGCAAGTCCTTGTCACAGTAGAACTCCAAGCTTGTTTCACCGGATTCTCTTTTGTTGTCGTGCTCTGTAAATGTCGTGTACAGGGGGAACTACTGAGCCTTTCTCCTCATCGTCGTCAGAATCCTCGTTTGATCTCTTGACAGCCTTATTGAGCATAGCATTGTTTTCCACAGGTCCATTGCCTTCCACAGCTATTTCAGGTAGGCCTCCGGTAATTATCCGTACAGCTTCATCAACAGCTTGAGAAAGAGATTAAATTTGTGATTAGAAAGCTGTTTCAGCAAAGCTGAGTACAGTTACAATCATGCTTTTGGAATAAAAATTAATAATCATGCCAGCGGGGACACCAAGACACAGTCATTCTGGAGCTTTCAGGAACATAACATCTGCAGAACAGTGCAAGCAAACATCTGAAGAATTAAGTCTCAACTGTCTAAAACTTGGAGCTGTTGCAGGCACTGCTTATGAAGTAAATGCTGCTGCATCAGCTCGAGCTCCACATCCACATACTGAGGTCAGCTTGGAAGCTTAATAAAATAGCAGGGCCTACTGGGGCAATGCTAGCCCTAGTTCATGACTCAGCAGCAAGTATGCACAGCAAGCCAGTTTCTGGTTAAGAACAGAGAAAACTTCCAAAATACCGTATATAATTTAAGTAGGAGTTTTATTTTCCCTCTAACGGAAAGCAAATCCTAGCTTTCTCTTTGATCATTTGCTTCTTCAGCCAGCAGAGGAATGAAAAGCACCACGTGAGTCATCTCCCATGGAAGCCCAGCGTACAGACCTGTCCTCTTTGTACATGCCAGAACTCTACCTTCATTGTAGGAGCTAAGAAAACATTGTTCTGGAATTGTTCTCAAGCACTGCTTCAGTGTGCAGGCAGAGTTACGTCGACCAAGGCACAAAGTCAGATGACCAAAGACTTGGAATTTTCTCTAACGAAGTTTGCTAAATGCATTTAGCATTTCCTTAATATCTTGCTGCTAGGTGATCCGTAACCACGCTGCAAATTTGTAATTTAATTAATTACAGTTATTATGCTGCTACATGTACTGCCTGCTTCTTTGAAGGGGTGTTCTGAAAACCTTACTTTCTTTTAATGTTTACCACCGAAATGTTACTGAAGCAGCAGCTGGTGATTTTCAGCTTTTTTTTTTTTTAACTTCATGTTGATTTCCTGCACAGTTGAACAAACGTCTCTAGATTGATCCCAGCCTACAACCACAGCCAACTCAACAATATGCTCTTAAATAATAATTATACATCTGCAGCTATACAGGAGGCCTGTGTTTTAGACAGTAATATCCATATGTAAAGCGAATCATACGCACTACCACAGACGGCAGAGTGAACAAACAACTTGACTTACTGTCTGGCAGTTTGCATCTTCTAAATATCTCCATGAGCTCATCCACTTGAACAAAGGGACCCTGTTTTGTTTAAAAAAAAAAATAAAACAAAAAAGAGATATTTCAAATAGAGTTCGTATATAATGTGGTTCTGTCAAATTAGAACAACTTCTACAAATTTAAGCTTTCAGAGCTCACCTGAAAACAAATAGGAGGTGGCAGGAGCTTCATTAGGACGACAGCTGCTGGTGGAACAGGAAATACACCTCCTGGTACAGGATGTAAACCTGGAGCTGTGGGAAGAAAAAGTATGTGAATCCAGTGCAAGACAGCAAGCCTTGTATTGCTTTAACAGCTCTATTAT